CCCAAGTGCAATGTTCCCAAGCAGAGGCAGAGAAATCTCAAGTTTCATATTTGTCTAGGGAGCCCATCTCACCTCCCAATCTTGAAATATGAGCGAACCAGCCTATTGTTTGCTTTAAGCTCTCCTGGTTTCAAGGTCTCATACCAAATGAACAATTATTGTCAGAGAAATAAGATTTGTATCATCAGTGGTTCTCAATGGTCTGCAAACGTTTTTGGTTGTTATGACTGTGGTGGGGGGAGGGGCCGTGCGACTGACATGTAGTGGGTATAGGGGTATAGGCCAGGGGCACTGCTAAACCTCCTACAGTGCTCAGGACAGCCCTCTCCCCACACCGCCCCCCCAACAAAGAATTATCTGGTCCAAGATGTCAATAGGGCTGAGGTTGAGAAATCCCGACATACACGAAATAGATGGTGAATAGTATAAAGACAGTATATAGGTCTTTGCTGACTTGGGTGTTCCAAAAATGCTAACGTATTTCAAGATTAGATCAGTTTGAACTGAAATGGTCTAGGAAGATTTTTTGGAGAGGAGACAGACTTTAAGCTAGAAAAAAAGTGCTGTATTTAGAATAAAGAAAGGCAAACATTCCAGTTGAAAGAAATAGCTTTCGCAAAGTCCCTGAGAGTAGACCATGGCTTCTGTGGAACATAAGAGGGAAAATTAATATAACTAGCGGCGGGCTTGAGTAGGAAGGATGAGATGGTGAGATCAGATAATGGTAGTTCCCTAATGCTGGGTTAAAAGTTTAGCCTTGAAACGTGGTGTGGGAGTGGAGGTCTTGAATAGGAGAGTAACATGGTCAGTGAGTATTTTAGAAAGACTAATGGTATTGGGTGTTTTAGGAAAGACACAATGGATCAGAGTGGGGACAGCTAGTAGAGGGAAGATTAAGTAAGATTCTTGGAATAATCTAAGTGTGAACAATGAGTCAATGGTTGTAGCAACAGGAATGGAAAGAAAGTAAGGTAGGTTTTGTTACCGAGATTTGCCTTTCCTTCTAGACTGTTTATATCTTGTATCTTATTAGAAAGTTATTTATCAGCATAGAGGTGATACTTTAAATAACTTAAACTCTGTGGAAAGCGGGATGTAAAGAGGGTTCAGGGACAGACTATAGTTTAAAATACGGTGCAGAAAAAGAGAAAGGAGGAAAAGTAGAATGATACGGTGCCGAGATCACCAAGAGTTTTAAGATGGAGGCAGTTAGCAGCAGTAGATGCCACTGAGGTGCAGGATGAGGATTGAGACACGGCTATTAGATTGGCTAAGAAGCAGTTCATTGATGACCTTGAAAGATCCTTTTCAATGGAAAAGTGGGGACAGAATCAAATTTCAGAGGGTTAGAGAGTAGAAAAATGATTAGTAAATGATGATAGTAGCCAAATATCGTTCATGAAAGGATGATCATAAAGGAAGAAGAAAAATGGGACAGTCTGGATCGATTTCTTATCTCTAATATGTTTACTTTGTTTCCAGTTATAAAAGAACTGGTGGTATCTGCTGGAGAGAGTGTACAGATAACCCTGCCTAAGAATGCAGTTCAATTAAACGCATATGTTCTCCAAGAACCACTGGAAGGTAAAATCCCTTTAAATTTGGATAGATTTTTTTTTTTTTTTTTAAGCAATGGGGTCCCAATTAGCTGAGACTACAGACATGCACCACTGTGCCTGGCTAGGATAACATTTTAATTTATAGTGATGTCCACATACCTTAACTCATTTCCTCCTTACAGCAGTCCTGTGAGGATGAGACATAGCATGGGTATGTATAAATATTTACGTAAAACAAGAGGCAATATAATATAGGGTTTGAGGCCATAGGCTTTGATGTCAAGCCTGGCTTATAATCCTAGCATAGCCAGTCATTAGC